GAATGCTTTTAAAAAATAAAAGCCAGTTGAGTTTCAGTAAATTCAAGGAGTACTACAACTCATAATGTTTACTTGTACTTTCGCTCCGGCTTTACATAAACACAAGTGGGTGCCCCCGTTAACTACACCCGCCTCTCAGACCTTAAGGCCCTGAGCTGTGCATCCGCCCCCATCTAAAATGTCTACAACCTCTCTGCTGAGCGCATCAATATTTTACAAATTATTTCTATATTTACATTTTGGAAACCTCAAAAGCTCCCAGGGGTGGTCGGAAACTTGGAGTGTTAGGTTGCAGAGAAAAGATTTCTTGTCGTGCTAGGAGGAGGATTTTTAACGTCACAGCGTAGGAGAGGTTGGTCACTGCTGCGTTCAGCATTTCGCTCACTCCCCACCACATGACAGCTCCCCCTCCACTAACATCCTCTGGATTAGGGAGTCAATGGAGGTTTAGCAAGTCAATGAAGGAAGTCTCTGAAGTCTATCGTGTATTAGACATGTACAGAGTGTTAGTTAGCGCTGTGAATCAGTGACGGGGGAGTCCAGGTGCTGACTTCTCACAGAGCAAACTGATAGCCCAGAACCAGGTGTTCTGGCTCAGCAGCAAATTGGGACGCTTCAGTTTCTCTCATGCTGGAGGTGAAACTCATGACAGATAAAGTTCAGTATCAGTATAACCTTATCACTACCAGCTGCTCAGGTCTCAGGCAACGCTGCAACCTGATTGGACAGTGCTGACCAGGTGAATAGTCTTGACGTAAGGTACAGAATGTTCTTTGGGAGGTGAATTTTCAATGCTGTGGGGAAGCAGCTGTTATTAATGTCCACCTCTGTCAATGAAGAAGGATTCGTTCAAGAAGTTTCATAGATAGGGAGGCTGCTACCACACATTTTTGGTAGCAGATACATTAAAACTTAACATTTCAACATGCAGTTAGGCACAAAATGACTTGGTTATAGTTAGGAAATGATCATGTTTTGGCTTAAAATACCCAGTTGTGGGGGCATAATCCTCACTGGAAAAGCAGTGATGTCTTGGTAAAAAAAAAAAAATTGCTTTTTGTGGCACTGTTCCAGCTGGAAAAACAGACAAGTCACTACAAAACGCCCACACATGGTGCCTAAAAAGCCACTGGGAATACAGCAATGACTCGCTAAATCACAACCAGTTTTATTGTTTGTTGGTGTCTAACAGTGGTCCGCTGCTTGGCAGGTGCCTCCCATTGGTGTTACTCCATCCCCAATATTTCCAGATGACAAAGTCAGCTCATATACTACGTCACTTTAGAAACGCTAATATGATAAGCATGAAACATAAAAAAGTAACATAATCATGGTTTACTGAGACATACAATGCCACATTTTCTTCTGGCGACTGAGCTGGTTATTTAGTTGCCACATAATCAGACTGAGCTGCCATTTCATTTGCATGTCAGCCAATTTCAGTTTGACACAGAAGCTGTAGTAGCTGTTACTACACAAGCATTGACATTTTTCATGACAATTGAAAAACTATGCTAAAGGTCTGCTAAGAGCCTGTTTAGATTAGAGGCGGTATTAACATAGGTTTTGGGATCCGATCACAAGTGGACAGCGCTAAATACAAGTCTAAACGACCACCAAGATGCATTGTGGTCTGATCACTCAACTGCTGAGATGGTCTGGGACGCATTTGACCACATATCTTTTGTAGTATAAACACTAATGCGTCCTGAAGCGTCCCTGACATGGCCTACGTCATTGGTGCAGGATGTGGTGGCAGTTCTGGTGACGATGAGCTAAAACTGTCTAACTTACCTATTTAATGACGAGTTGAACTTAGTGTTGCATGCACATCCCTTGTTTTGCCCTTTGGAAGGAGACATGTTGAATTTGACTGACAGTGATGTCTCCAGTTGTACTGGCGCAACCGCTACCCTGACTAGCAAACATGCTACAGAGCAGCTAGCAAGCTAGCAGCTGGAGACACATCCTAGGCACAGGTGTGAACAAATATGTGTCTCGGCTGTCTGCTGTTGTTTGGATCACCAAAACGCATATTAATACCAGGTCTAAATGGGCTCTAACAATAAGCTGTATAAATATATTGATTTCATTCATGTCTGTTGCCATTTTTGGTTGCTACTCTTCAGGAATGTAGCCAGCTAGCTATGTAAGAAAAAGATGGCCCCTTCTTAATCTCACCTACAATTGCTCTTATTAATAACCGACACTGAGCCAGCACCAGGCCAATTTGATTGTTGTCCAATGATTTAAAAGTCTAACTTTTGTCCACTAAGATCATTTATGGCATCAAAAACATAGCAATGGTGGAAAGACACAAAGAGAGTTTGTTTCCTCCTTAATAACAGAAAAATAAGTATTCAATCCATTAACTGTAACCTATAACTATCTCCTCCACAGAGATGTCATGTATGCTTGTGCTGCTGCTCGTACACTTAAACCATTAGATACCATTTACTATAGCCATTTGATTCATCACTGAAGATACCAAAGAAGGCACCAGCATGTTTTATTTATGACGTATTGGTATCTAAGAGATATTAACCCTTGGTTGAATCCAAACCTAATAACCCAAAAATCACTTAAAGAAAATGTTGGTATTGTACATTTCTGCAAACCACTGACACATTACATTTGTTTCATACGTATCATTTCTGTGTTTCTAAAGTGACGTAGTATATGAGCTGACTTTGTTATCAGGAGGTGAAGGAAATGGTAGATTGCATGACACCTGAGTGAGATGACTGCCAAGCTGCAAACCACTGTTCAAGACCAACATACAACAAAGCCAGTTGAGTTTTAACAAGCCATTGCCGTGTTTCCAGAGGTTTTTTAGGTACCAAACTTGGATGTTTGGTATCAGCCTGTCACTGTATTTCTACTGGGGATAGTCCCACAGCAAGCAATTTTTAAAGATATTTTTCTGGGCATTTTAGCCTTTAATTGACAGGACAGATGAGTGTGAAAGGGGGACAGAGAGAGAGGGAGTGACATGCAGCAAAGCACCACGGGCTGGATTCAAACCCGGGCTGCTGCGGCAACAGCCTTGTACATGGGGCGCCTGCTCTACCCACTAAGCCACCAGTGCTCCCACAAAAAGCAATTGTTATTTACGGAGATGTTTTACAGAGAAGTTTATGTTTTTTACCAAGTCATTGCTGCGTTTCCTGCTTAGATAGTGCCATGGAAATCAGATGTTTTTTACCGAGATGTCGCTGCTTTCCCTGGCGAGATAGTGGCGTGGAAAGGAGATGTTTTTTACTGAGATGTTGCTGCGTATAGTAATTGTTAGTGAATTAGTGTGTCTGTGTGTGACGATCCTGTCTGTGTCTCTGACTCTGGATTTTTTCTTGGCCTGTTTTTGAGTGGAATGGTTGCTTTGCATAGGTGTGACAAGATATGTCCCATTTTTAACAAAGACATGGCCACTGTCTGAGACTAACTGATATTAAATGACATGACTACACGAAGGTCTATGAGATAACACAAAATGGCTAAGCTGTCTATCTTATTTTCTTCTTCCATTTCCCCTGCCTCTACATGCTGTAGTAGATGCTAAACAGGCCTCATCACTGCTCACTGGGCATTATTTGCATATTTCTCTAAAACCCCATTTCTCCTTTGTCCATGTTGTACTGGTCCCATCAATGGTTAGCCAGATGATGAAGCCATTATTGACTGAACCTGAGCCTGTGCCTCATGGAACATTAAATACATCACTTCCTCTCCCGATGCGGCTCTCACAGCTTCCCTTTAGGCTGCAGTCAGGAAATGAAAACAGCCATTAGAACTGAAGCAAGCCAGAGTGCTGTGGGATGCTGCACGCCTGCTATACAGCAATATCCTTCATTATGAAGCCAGAGAGAGAGACAGGGCCCCTCACATGTTCCAGTGCAGGTGTGGATACGGCTCAGTGGCGGCCGTGCTGCTTCAAATTGCCATTTGCTTGTGGTGAAAGCCCCTGAGGCATCAAACTGCAATGTAACCAAGGCTTTGTATGAGGCAGCTGTAGCACATCAGTGAGTTTCAAGTGAGCTATAGCTACCTCCTGTCATTTCCCCTTAATGCTCCTTTAGTGGCTCAGTTTGTGTATGGCACCTTCTGAAATCTATCACTGGTTATTTATATACAGTTCTTAGCGATGGGTCGTCATTTGATCAATATTCAGAGGGGTTTCCAAAGGTGGACCAATATATCCGGTCTCTTTTCTAATCTATATCGTGTCCGGTTCAGGGCTGCTAAGATTCCCAACCACACCCCATCTTCTTCTCTCCGCCAAAGGGAAGCACAAACGATCGTACACACACCGCCTCACCACCGTCCGTCTGTCGGGCTTATAAAACGGTTTGTGTCGCTCCAGGCCTGAGAGCTATAATGTCATTGTTGTTTCCATTATTGCCAAAGCGATCTCTCTCTCTCACACACACATACACACACAGATGCACACACATTCGCGGCTGCAAAAATCAAGCCACTCCAGCCTGCATGCGTGCGTAAAAGGGAAAATCAGAGCGGTGTTGGATGTGTAAACTGAGGGATGGGTTGCAGTCCCCATTGATGAAAACGAGTGGGTGAAGGATGGATAATGCTATGATTCATCCCCCCCCCCCCCCCCCCCCCCCCNCCCCACACCCCTCCCCACCACCACCACCATCTCCACCAGCACTGTCACACCCCATCCTCACGGCCCAATCTACACCTGTAACACGTTTGACCCTGTTTCGGGTCATCTCCACTGACTGTGACTGTATTGTTTTAATTTATTGACTGATTCCAGCTGCATCGAGCCTCACACGGCTGCTGTCCCTCTGATGATGCTGACTTCTCTCAGAAACAGCTGTTATTATGTTGGGTAAATTTTTTGGAAGCACACCACCTCTTCAAGACAAGCGCATCGGCTACCGGTTACTGGATGTGATGGGTGTGTGGTGTTGATCACTACAAAGGGGGATCGCTATGCGTTATAACTTCCACAGAAAGGGGAGAAATGTTGCGCTTACTTTAGCATGGCTTGTTCTTTATCCTCTTCCTCCTTTTGCCGAGCCATCACTGCCATGATGATCTTCCTCTCCTCCTCGGTGAGATGGCTGAGGTCCGGCAGATCCGGCATGGATGGCGGCACGGTGGGTGGGCGAGGGCCACCCTGGGGCCCCACCGAGGCGGACATCTTTTCCACCACCACCACCCCACCTCCACCTCCACCACCACCACCTCCTCCTCCTCCTCCTCGGCGAGTCGTTTCGGCTGACAGGTTCCCCGGAGCGTTTCCGAGCCACACCTCACGACATGGTCCGCGGGCAGAGCGGCAGCGGCAGCCGCAGCTCTGGCGAATAGTGCAAGCCGCTCATGGTTGCAGGCACCCTCGGTTGTGCTTTTGTTTGTCCTCTCTGGGTGTTTCTCCCACCACGCTCTCGTCGTCGATCCCCCCCACCCCCCGCCTGCCCGCCTCTGCCCTCCACCGCCCGGATTCACGGGGAGCCCATTTTTCACACGCCGGGAGTCGCGATGAGGGGGCCCCTGGATCACACGGCTGGTCTGTGGTGCCGTCGTCGGACTGGAGCTGGATGTTAGGGCGGTATAGGCGGAGTCCGTGCTGCCTCTCTCTCTCTCTCTCTCTCTCTCTCTCTCTCTCTCAGTCAATGGGAATGCAGCCCTCCTCTTCCTCCTTTCTCCCCCCAACCCCCCTTTTTTTTCTTTTTTTTTTTTTTGCGGAGGCGCGCTTACTCATGTGAGAATGGGGTCCTCACCACCACCATCACCATCGTCACATGCAAGCAGCCTTTACTGTGGCTGCACACACACACACACACACACACACACACACACACACACACCAGTGTTTCATCCAACGCACACACTTGCCACACAAAGTTCAGGAGTGCACGACGGCTACAGCCATATTTAACATATTTAACAAACAATTCTCGCGATACTTTTGAGTAGTTTGTCATTCAGGTAAGTCACATTTCATAAACCATGTGCAGCCTCACGATGCAGACACAACGTGCACATGATGAAGTTGTCAGTGTTGTAGTGTTGGTCCATTTCAGCACCATGGACAGCAGCTCGCCTCCACAGCAAACACACATCTTATTTTTCAGCTTTTTCTGTGGTTCTCTGAGCTTCCAACATTTGAATGCATCCAACCAGGAAACCAGGTAACCAGCTTACCTCACTGCATTTGGCACCATGCGTTGCAGCCATAGCACACGAGTCACGATATTTTATTAAACATATTTAGTATGCTTTTTGCCCATGTATTTTGCAGATACTGCTTTAATAAACTCTTGCAATATATCTCGTACCATTTGATGTATTTTTATTGTATGTCTTATGTATATTACTGTGCTTCATGTATCTTATGTAAAGCCCAAGTCTGTGCGTGACTGGAAATTGTGTTTTATACCATAAAAAAATCTCGAATTCGTCATGTTATGTTATCTATGACTTATTTATTTATTTTTGCAGGGACAATGAACACTACCTTATCTCGTCTTATGTTTTCTTGGATTTGTCTTTGTTTCTTGTTTTTGTTGCTTTTTTGTGCATTTTTGAGGATTATTTGACATATGTAGAGACAAAAGTATAAGGTGCGGGGGGGGGGGGGGGGGGGGGGGGGGGGGGGGGGGGGGGGGGGGGGGGGGGGGGGGGGGGGGGGGGGGACATAGTATGGACATGGTCACATAGCTACCCACATATTTATCTGAATCATTAAGAGCAAGAAAACACATCTATGCCATCAATCGTATTACTTCAGCTGCCATATAATCAAAGATCATATCTTTTATAGTGTTTTTATTTCAGTTTGCATATCCCTTTTTGATACATTGGATAAGCCAAACAAATTGTAAGTGTAAGTTGTAGTGGAATATGTGTTTTTAGAGAAGTGTTTATACCTACTGTTGTCATCTCACCTTACAGATGCTGAGGCTCCCTGCTCGATCAAACAGCTCCTGTCCAATAATAGGCCGGGTCAGCCTCACTCCAGGCCAGCCCTCCTCCTCCTCCTCCTCCTCCTCCTCCTCCTCTCCCGGCTCGTTTTGCATTCACATCCAGACTCCCAGGCTATACCGATCCCGAGCTGGCACCGGTTTCTCCCCGATGACGTAATGCCGGGTGAGAGTCTGAGTCCATCCAGCAGATGGCATTAACCCCGGCTGCTGCCACCCCAGCCTCCGTCACGTGACGTCACCGAGGAGGTGACTGTACCGCGGGTGACGTCAGCTTCCCGTGGTGCAGAATTTTGTCATCATTTCGGTCGTGACTAGGGACCACCGGCCCTGAGTGACAGAGTCGTGCCACAGCACGAGTGGATCTCTGCTGCAGCCCACGGACTATAAATAAACCCTGAGTGCAGTCTGTAAGGACGGAGAGGCTCTGCTTTAATGGCTCTGTGCTGTAGATGGAGGATGTGTTCAAGCAGCTCGGTCAGCTTTCATAATGCATACTGTTGGCAAACATATAGTCATAGGATAACATGCATGCACAGGGTGAGATATTCAGCTGCATGGGTTATTGCATGAGCGATATGAAAGCCAGATATTTACTGGTTTTAATGCAGCTGACAGGGTGGAACAACATGTTTCAAAACTTTTCCCACATCCATGTGTCCCTCAGAGACAGACAGGGAATGTGCATGGAATGTCCTGCATGGACTTGAGTCGCTACCCAATGAGAACCTCGTAGCTGAATAATGGTGCGATGCAGAGAAAAATACAAAAGTTATTGGGCAAATTTCGTTAATGGAAAAAAACCAACTTGCTCAGGTGCAAATAAGCAGTGACTTTATTCCTCCCACTGCGTGAAAAAGAATAAAGGTGAGTTCAGCACAAAAACCCAGAGCTGAAATGTAACTAAGTACGTTTACTCTAACAATTTTGAGGTACTTGTACTTATTTCTATTTAATACTACTTCATAACTCTCCTCTCCTACATCTCAGGGGGAAATGTTGTACTTTTTACCCTACTACACTTGTTTGACAGCTTTATTTATTTTTGTTGATTCAGATTATCAATGCAAAATAAAAAATAATCAGTAAATCAACTAATTCTGCTAGCTGTTTATATTTTTAGACTTTATAGCATTTCTTATTACTCCTTTAAGGACCTTCTACAAGAAAAATCTGTATCTGCACTGGTATCTGTACATATATTTATATACATTACATTAATAATATATCTAGCAAGACATTTAATTTAATCACCTTACATTGCAGTACCTGCACTGCCAACCACAGATTTGTATTACCATCATAAGCACATCTACTGTAGTTACAGCTCTCTGTATTAGTCCTGGGATGACTCATTTTACTCCTGTGTATCTATCTATCTATCTATCTATCTTTTTGGTGCATTAGTATATTTTCATGCTGATACCTTTGTACTTTTACTTAAGTAAGATTCTGTGTGCAGACCTTTAACTTATAACTGAGTACTTCTACACTGTAGTATTGCTACTCAAGTACAAGATCTGATTACTTCCTCCACCAATGCAAACACCCTGCAGCCTCTTGTTCAGACTGAGTGCTGTCTTGCTTCTTAGGGGATACTGAGAAAATACAAACTGTTCCCTGCTGTGCAGAACAACAATGTAGGGAATAAATAACAAGTGAGGATTGTTAGTGACGGTGCTTCTCCCTGCTGGATATCAGGGGCTGTGAAGCCCTCTGTTACAATCAATCAGTCAATCAATCAATCAATCAATCAATCAATCAATCAATCAATCTACCTTTATTAATATTACACTGATGTACCCAGCCAGCAGTTTAAAACAGTGTTTGATTGAGAAGTAGGCTATTGAGCAAACTTGCAAACTTGTTTTATTTTATTTTGTGTGTGTGTGTGTGTGTGTGTGTGTGTGTGTGTGTGTTCTCTGTCATTTTGACGCCCAAAAATTAATTTTAAATAATTTCTTTAATTCTGAACGTTAATTCCAAAGGTACCAGAAGTTTTATCAAATATGCTGTAAGGAATAACACTCAAAGCAACATTTGCCATTGCAATATGAAGTTGTCTTGAATATTGTCACCATGTGTAAGCTAAAGTCATTGGTTAAGTAACATTTTGATGAGGAAGTAACTACAGTGCTACTGAAGACATCCCCACAGAATCAGGTGGACGTCTCCATATCCAAGGCTTTAATAAAGTGAACATATCGACATCTAGTGGACACACGGAAACACTGCATGTACAGGGAAGGAATATTAAAAACTTTGGCTCTATTTACCAGTTGCTACTTTATGTTTTAGGTTAAGTTAAAGTGAGATGTGCACATCAATACATGAGACACATCAGACAAGAGACATATAAAGCTTAAAATGTAAAATTGCATGTGAGAGTTTTGGACCCCATTTCCAGGTCTTTTTTTTCCCTAAGATTAGTCAGTTACGGATGTTTTTATCTCAACCTGACCTCTGACCTCTTAGCTAACCTTAATCTGTTTAGAGATAGGAATTAAACCTGGCTTTATGCCTCTTTTCTAACTCTTGGTTAGCAACTTTTTCATTCCGTAACTGGTCAGTTGTTGTTTTTTCAATTAATTTATTCTGAAATTAATAGATATATTGGGCTGCAATGCATTTTTAAGTGCTCTCCTGACAGAAAGAGCAACTCTATGTAGACAAAGACCTGTTCCAGGTGAACATCTTTTTCAGGTTCTCATTATGTGCTATAGAGTGTAGGAACACAGCACCTTGGGAACATAGGGATGACCCTGCTGTCAAGTGTTGTGTCCCTTATGTATTTAACTTTTCTTTTGTAAGAGGACACATGCAGGTTATTTGTTTCGAGTCTCAAAAGTTACTAGAGTCAGTTGAGGTCAAAAATTATACAGATCCGACTGTAAACACCCTCAAGGGAAATGAGCCGTCACAGCAAAGCCGACGAACCACCTAACAGTGTCGAAGGGAGGATTACATAGAAATGCCTTAATGGTGAAAGTAGCTTTCTCAGTGAAGGCTTCTAGAAATGTTTGCACAAAGGAAAAAGGTAAGCAGACAAAGCAAATACTCTCCGAGTGGTAAAATAACAGTAGTCGTGCAGCCACACAAAAGGAACCATTTCATTAGCTATTCGTTAGCTTCTAAAAAAAAACAATATACAACTTTGTGAAGTGAAGTTGTACACAATAGCCTCTGTATAGCTTTCATGTATTTATGCAAAGGGAGAAACAAGTG